AGGGGAGACACGCGGCAGGGGCCTCTTGGTGCCACCCCATGGCTTTGCAGCCATTTGCCTTTCTGTTGGGTTCACCGGTGCTGCTGTGCTGCTACACCGAGTGCCCCACGGGGGGTGGCCAGGGGGGTCTCTTGGTGCTATCCCCACCCTGTGCCACCCACCTGCAGCCAAGACCCCTCCCATCCCACCCCACAGCAGCCAACTTGTTCCTCCCCCCGACTTGTCCTTGCCAAAATACCTCACCGGTGCCTGAGTCCAAGGCAGTGGGTGCTGCCTCCCCAGCACTTGGGTGAGCTTGGGGAGAGCAGGACGGGAACTGGGGGGTCCCCTGGGCAAGGGTCTGGGAGAGGAGTGGGGTGTGCTGGAGCCCAGGGACATGGGTGCCAGGGGATATGCCCAGCATCATGCAGGGACATGGGTGCCAGGACTGCCCTGTGCCTGTGGGACAGGAGCACAGTGGCACCAGGGGACACTGTCACCCCCAGGGAGCTGGGATAGGGGGACAGCCAGGATCCAGCCAGCCCCCCATGTCTCCTGCCTCTCCCCTGCCCTGCAGTGTCAGCCAGGGGGAACCCCATCACCTCTATCCTTGGTTCCCCTGGCTCAGGATCAGGCTGTGCCCCCACCCAATGGCATCTCCACTGCCCTGTGGGGTGCAGACCCTGTCCCAGGGACCCCTGACCCTATCACCCCCCTGTCCCCATCGGAACCCCTTCATCTCATTGGGTTTGTTTTCACCTGAATGGTGATACTTTGTGTGACGTTTTCTACCTCCACTGAAGCCGGGGGCGGGGCAGGGCCAGGCTGGTGTGGCTGGGGGGATGCAGGACTGCCGGCATTCCCAGGGCTCCCCAAAGGAGGGTTCACCTCCCTGCTGTTCCTCCCTCCCAGGGTTGTCATCTCTTCCAACCCAGGAGTGTTTCGATCCATTCCCCCATCAGCATCAGCCCCTTCCAGCTCCCCAGTGAACCAGAATTCTGCCTGTCCCTGCCCGTCCCTGCCCGTCCCTGCCTGTCCCTGCCTGCCCAGAGGAGTGGGGCTGCCCTGGGCTCCATATTTGAATGTGTCCCACAATCCCGTCCAGATCTGTTGGCACATCCCCCCACAAAGGGCTGTGCTGAATGTACCCCGTACCCTGGGGCCAGGCATGTCCCAGGTGGGTGTGTTCATGCATGTGTGTGTTCGTGTGTGTGTGTGTGTGTGTGTGTGTGTGTGTGCGCGCACACCAGGGGCTGGCAGAGGTTTGCAGGGTGAGGGTGCTGCCAGACCCCTTGGCTGTGCAACCCCTCACCCCCTTGTACCCACAGCCCCTGTGCCTTCCCTGCAACCCCACACTGGTCCAGCAGCATCCCAGCTGCCCTGAGCCACAGTGCCACCTCTGCCACGTGCCATGGTGTCATCCTTACCCCTTGCCACAGTGCCACCCCTGCCCCGTGCTGTGGTGTCATCCCTGCCCCTTGCCATGGTGCCAAGCCCCAGCATCCCATGAGGCACACAGCGGGGCACCGCGCCAGCCGCAGGGAGAGCTGGTGGGGAACCCTGTCCCTGGGCATGTCTGGCTGCCACCCATGGGGTCCCCGAGGCTGAGTGCCCATCTTGGTGGCACAGCCAGCTTCACAGTGTTGGTGGCATTGTGTCATTTTTGTTTCCCATTTCTCTGTAGCTAGGGTGACAGTGGGCTGGGGCAGGCTGTCGCTGGGATCACTGGTGCTAACTGGTGCTAACTGGAAGCCTTGGAAACCCTTTGGAAAGAGGGTGCAGAGTGGGGCTGGGGCTGTGCCCCCTGCAACCCCCCACCTCTCCTTCAGCATCGGTAATGGGCAGACACCACTGGTGGGTGCTGAGATGGGGGGCCGCTCTGGGGGGGTCTCTTTTCCTAAGAGAAGGTCGGGGGCAGTGGCTGGGGGGGGCCGGCGGGGGGGCGCCCCGCGGGG